GATCGGTAGTTTATGACCACAGTGTGCACTACCCGGTTTCAAATCCCGTTGGAATTGCTGATGAGGCCTAAGTGAGTTCGAATCTGTAGTGCCGACAGGATGAGAGCAACTTTTTAGAGGCAATTTTAAGTGAAATTTAATGGTATCTTTAAGTTTACTCACATCAGTGCGGGAAAAACTTCACAGCAAATCCTTGCATCACCTTAAGCCAATTAGGATGGCAAAGTCCTTATGCAAGAATGACTCATATCGAAACTAATTAACTTCGTCGATTGTAATTGGAAATTTGTGTCTGCTTGAAGCAAATTCTTACTGCCTTTTGGTATGTTGTAAATTGGCTAACAAGAAAAATGGAGTCAGCCTTATATTAATTATAGATGCTTCAATATCAGCGCCAAATCAAGACAAATTTTGCCCGATTATTACAGGACTCCTAGACCCGAACTCAAGACTCGAAAGCTTGAGGTCAAGTTATTCCGCGGTCTTGTTTGGTTGGTCAACGCAAAACCCTTGATTGACTGCAGTTTTCTACAGATTAGTGAGATGAAGTTTATAAATGGATTTTTCTTTGACCGAGTGGAATTGTGACTAAGTTTTGGGGCTTAATTAATCAGGATCATATGTATTTTTAGTATCTGACTCCAAAGTACTTAGATGTCTGGCTATCAAGTGGAGAAATAGCAAAGGAATTTACAGAATGTGCTTTGCATTTATGAGAATGTAACAAGGAAATACGAGCTTTTCATCAAAGAAGGCTTGCAGTCAATACAAATAGTGACTAACTCTAGACAAAATTATTTGGGATAAGGTTTTTAAAATTTCTAGACAATGCTAGCAGTTGTTGGCCCGTCCTAGGTTTTGTTTCTTTAGAAGAGTTGGCCAAAAGTGAGGTTGTCTAATGTGAATGGGCTTCTAATTGCAAACCGGATAGATGGCTGGTAGTGATGGGGGCCACTATACCTTTTTTAAAACCTCGCAATTTGCATTTTTAGATAGTTTGGTATCTTATTTCATCTCTAAAATGTGTCTTAATCTGGCTGATTAATAAGCTGAGATGACAAGATTCTACTTATATATTGCACAATCTTCAGTCTTTTCATTATTTTACTTAACAGTGTCCTGTAGTTTAAGCACCACTATCCTTTTGTACTTAGAGTTTGACGAATTAAAAGGCATTATTGACAGTTAGTTTGGGGGAACCTGTGTAAGTTTGATTCTGACAAGGCTTCTTCTATGTCCAAATAACCAAAACGGGGACTTTGCATTTGGATAATATCTTGATCACCCTAAGTCACTTAGGATGAAGTAAAGCTTGATTAAATAATGTTTTTGCTGTGATATGATAGATCCTTCGTATATTTGTCTTGAGTAAGATTTAGTGGGTTTTCCCACGATGAGATGAGTAAGTCTTACGATGTTTCCCAAAAGGTTATTTCATCCAAGCTGGATTGCAGTTTCGACCTCGCCTGAGTCTCGCCAGAACACCCAGCAGCGAGATTCCAGCCCGCTAGCAATGTCGATTAAGGACGCTTATGTTATCAATTGGAATCGAAGACGCTATTTAATTTGGATTTAAGTGGATTTCGAGATTGCCAGTAATTTTTGAATAAGAATTAAGCCTATGTCGATTAGAGACTAATGGTTGGAGTTCCCTCTAATGAACTGAATATGCCTCTGGATACTGTTAAATTTCATTTGGCCTTGCCTCAAATAAGGCTATCTCATTTGGGTATTGTCTGCTTTGCTTTGGAGGGGTAAATTGTTGAAAAATACCGAACTTACCTCGGATTTCCAACTTGGCTGGCTTGTGAATATGCTATTCTCCCTCCGCCAGTTTCATTTTCGGCCAAGCCGATCCAAGCTTCAACCTGTTTTTGGCTAATGGAGGCATATGCCTTTTGTGCATTTGCCACTGGTGAAGTCTGGCTGTCCCTAAAGTGGGACTTTTCGTGGTAGACGTGTTTCAGGTCGGATGAATCGGTTCCACAGTCGATTACGGCCTGGGCCTCATTGAGTACAGTCTCGGTTTTCGAGGTCTCTGTGGCCAGAGGTTGTGGAGGTGAGGTACAGCTGAACTGTGACCAATGGGGATTCTCAGGGTCATGAGCAACTGTGTTTAAGTCTGAGCCTGAGTCGTATTGGGCAGTGGACAGGCTCAGCTGCTCCACATCAGTACTAGTTGAATAGGTATTCAGGAGCTAAAAAGGATACCAAAGCGTAACAGGTGGAGTTGACTTAGTGCAAATGTACAGAAGGTTAGCAGAAGAGCACCATCGAGTCACCGCAATTAACTCCCATAGTTGTTATGCTCACTTGCATTTTAAATAATAGCGTGTGGTTCAATCCCAACAAACGACAACGGTGGATTCCTTTTGGCCAGCTGTAGATTAGCATTAATGGAACATTCTTGTGGAAACTGTCCTTAAAACAAATTACTTTTATTCAGGCGAGAACGTGTTAAGTTTTCGTCTACCATATGAAGGGCATGCTCAGAACAAGCTATCATTCTTGCAACTACATTTAAATTAACGAGTCAAGAAAACGTGAATAGCTTGCATATGATTGTAAGAATTAAACCTCACCCTGATGATGCGCTTGATGAAGGCGATTTAGGCCATATGATGGACTAAAGCTCAGCAAGGATTCATCAGAATCGCGAAGTGGTGAGCCGATGGCTTATTCGTCCAAATATACAGTCACAGCTCCTTCGACTTCCGGTGAGATGAACTTATGTATCCCACCATTTCCATACCACATGTAAGGTACTCCATCATGAAATTCTGGCATATTTTTACCAAAATCGAAGGAGATTCTCCAGCGGATAACGCCAACTGGAAGGCTCCAGTAAAGCTAACCAATAGTTGGACCGTTATCTTATGTTGGTGAGATCCACCCAGGAAATCTCATCAGCACACGCTTTCCATGCAAAATAGAAATAAGATTAACAATTGCAGACCCAAATTTTCTCCGCATAACTTCCATTACTCGGCAGGACAAAAAGCAATGTCGTCTCACCCCATATTGTTGTGGCTTTGGTTGTGATTGCTGTCTTCTTTACCTGTATAGTGTGGGTTTGACTTCAACTTCGCAAATTGATCGGAGTGACAGGGAGACGATGTGGAGCGTTCTTATTTCTGTGTCTTCTGCCAAGAGCAGATTGTTGAATTGGTAGAAGCCTGTACATTTCGCCGGCATCGTAGTCACCATGCTTAGAAAAGAATTACAACGTTTAAAAGTGACAAGTCGTTCTAATCTCACATTTTTCTTAACGTGTTCAACTCTTACCATAGATTATTTACGTCGTAGATTGGGGTTTTGGTTATTTTTTCTCGAGGATATCTACAATCAAAACTCTAAGGTAGGTCGCCTATTGCTGGGTATATCAAGCAAAATAAATGGTAAAAAAAAAAATTTACCAAGATATTAGAAATTATGAAGACCAAGATGATGCAACCGTATTTTTGTTTACAGGCTCGTTTCTATACATACCATTTGTCTAACCTCATTTTAAAAAATTTGATTCTAGTAGTCCTGCTAATTTCCACCATCGAACCGTGAAATCGCCACACATAAAAGTGTTTTGCATCTTCTGTGAGCCTTGCCAGGCACTTAGCCTCAATCTATACGTAGTCAAAGCGACAAGTGAATTCTATTTTTCATATAAAAGAAGAGTTTCGAGATTACCAGTTAATCAGATATATGAGATGTATTCACCCTATTTCGTTTAAGGTGATGAAGTACTGGTAGTTGAATTTACACACAAAGATATGAGTAGAGGTGAAGTGACCTTGGGTCACAGGGCAGATGTGAATTGCAAGGGTACTCGTGGCAATGTTGCCGAGTGGTCAATGTATCAAGCTCACATGCTGTACTGTCACAGTTCGACTCCTGCTGGGGGTGTTGATAAGACCTATGTCCACTTCAGTCGGGATGAGAACACCTTTTGGGAAAGCAAAGTTATGTGAAATTCAATTGAAGTGTATGCTCTACTTATATCATTGTGGAAAAATTCATCACCT